CTTACTGTGATTTACTGTGATGTCTATTCTTCTTTGTCAATGTGAATCATCTGGGGAGACACGCCTCTAGGTGTGTCTTGGAATAAGTTTCCAGAGATGTTGAACTGAGGACGGAAAAACCCACTGTAAGTGTGGGCAGTATATCTCCTGGGTTCAGGTCCTTGATTGACTTTAAAAAGGGTTATGAGGGGAGCAGGAAGCTACATGAGTACCAGCATTCATCTCTCTTCTGCCTCCTGACTGCAAATGCAATATGAGCAGCTATCTGAAGCACCTACTATTCCTTACCTGCTATGATAGACTATATCCTCACAAACTAACCCAGAACAAACCTTTTCTCATTACAGTTTCTTATCAGGCATTTTGTGACAGTAAGAAATAGTAGACTTACCAACTCTGTATTTTTTTTTTTTTTACAGATTTCCCCCTATGGTTTCTGTATTATTTTAGAGCTTAATTTACATACCAATCCTTTTTAGGATGTTGTCAGAAAGTTATCTCTGAGTACTTGAAATATTTCATTTGGTATTTCATGGTTTTCTATGAGACCAAGAAACTGCAAGAAGATGAAGCAGTGGCATTTGCTTTGTGTCTGTAATGTCCCTTAGATTCTGTACCACATTCTGTGTTTTAATTCTTCCACAAATCCTATAGTATAGTCAAGAATTAACTTGCCTTCTAAAATTAAAGAAACTGAGATTCAGATAAGCAGTTTGCTTCAGAAGAATTAATCTCTGGAGGATTTGGGATTTTGTTTGACTTCTCTTATTGAGAATATTGTATACCACCTCCCTTTGCCTTTCCTATAGTAACATGCCTTTTAGCTGATAGCATCTTTGAGACATACAGAGCCTCTCAATTGGGTACACACTGCTACTTCTACCTATTGACAGGTGTCTTACTGGCTTTTAACTAAGGGTTGCTACACTCTGGCTTGTTGGATGATTGTGTTGTTTCTTTTTGTAAAGCTTCTTTAAATGCAGTTGTATCTGTCCATTAATTTCTATATTATAATAGATGTATGACCCACAAACTTGAAATATTTGTAATCTAGTCTTTAAACAGTGTTTGTGGACACTAGTTATAATTTAGTTGTAATCTTTTTTTTTTTTTATAGCTTTTAAGTTTTCTCACTCATTTATACAGGCACATTGTTTCCTGTCCCCCTTGCCCTTAGATCAGCTATCACCATAGAATTTCAAGCCTTAATTTCTATGATGTTTTGTATAGCGATTAAATTTCTACACACAGTCTATGACCACACCACCCTGAACATGCCTAGTCTCAACTGAATTTCTATGTACACTTTTGTAGGCAATGATTAAAAAAGAAAAAGAAAAAAAAAAAAACCCAAAATGTTTATTTGTGTGAACACTGCACACCTAACTGTAGCAGTCTAATTTGGTGTCTGCACTGTACCCTATGAAGAAAAGATTGTTAGCTTACATCAAAGTACAGTTTATGATTGAGACAGTCAGGTTTGGAGAGATGGCTCAGTGGTTAAGAGTACTGGCTGCTCTTCCAGAGTTTCTGAGTTCAATTCCTATCAACCACATGGTGGATCACAATCTGATGCCCTCTTCTGGCATGCAGGCATATATGCACATAGAACATTTCATAGAAAAAAAATTGACAAGTCTTATCTTGACATAAAGTGAGCATGGCACTTTTATACAACAGTAAAACATTTTTTGGTCCTTCCACATTATAAAATAAAGTGATAATAGCAAAAGCCTTGATTACTGTCATTCTGCTTAATTTCACAACCATCAGATTTATGACTCATTTCAGTTCTAGGTAGTTTTATATTGAATTGTAGATTTGGTGAACAGACCTCATAACTGAATTTTGGTGCCTCCTCTTAGTCTTTCAAATGTTAGGCAGCTTTTACTGTTTGTACTTCTGTGTATTGGCTGTTATCGCAAGGCTGCTCATTTGAATCTGTGGTTTGTTGTAGAGTATTGGCTAAGGAAGGCATTGTAAAGGTTTCTTTCTTAACATTGCTCAATGAAATTATGAGGTGCTAATAACACATTTCATTAAATTTCCTTTGTGGAAGTGTTTAGCAAATCTTGTTAACAAAGTCTTTCAGTTGGTGATGTGGGAAGAAAAATCTGTGTGTTGGTATCGGACAGAGTTGGGCTGTTTCCTTTTGCCCTTGGTGTTAAAGAATTTATTCTTTAGATCATTGAAATGGGGAAAATAGTATCCTCTGTGGAGAAGAAATGAAACGTCAAAAATAAAGTGCTGTGAAAGTTAGTTTTGCTCTTCTTGTGTGTCAGTATTTAAGAAACCTGTCTACAAGCTCCTTCCTGGAGCTTTCTGGTCATTACTTTGATTCTTCTTGACACATGGATTCTTTCTGCTGCTCTGTGTCACCAATAGAGCAGCAGACTTGTTGGAAGGTGTGGGAGGGCAGGCACCTTGTCATCCCTCTTTAATCCTATGTTGGAACAGTATGTCCAGGACTGGTTTTGTGGTGTGTCTAGATGAGTGTATAATTCTACACTATTCTACAAATCAGCCTGCTCTTACATTATGTTATTTTCATCCAGTATAAGGGAGCCACATAGAGAAGTTGATGTCGAAGCCAGCATTTTAACCTATTTCTTAGCAAATCATGAAGCATAAGATGACTGGTGAGTCACACAGCCTTTTTTTTTTTTTTCCTTTTAAATTACAGATGCTGCCAATCCTTATGGATTGCAGAAGTATTAATTTCTTTGTGAGTGTAACTGACATTTTTTACTGTGTGTAATGGCAGAACTACTTCATAAGTTAGTCAAGGCACATTGACTTATACGTTCTTCCAATTCTGTGTCCCAGGCAAGTCTAAACAGGATCTGGAACACCAATTAAAAGGCTAGCAATTTAAAATTAAGTGGATATTTAATACATTGGAAAAGCCCTTCAGTATTTTTCTTTTAAAAGATTATTTTTATTATTTATTTACTTTTTAGCATTGTCTGTGTGGATTTATGTGTACTTGGGTGCAGTTGCTCAGAGATGTCACAAGAGGGCATTGGGTCCTCTGGAGCTGGAGTTAACAGATACTTGTAAGCAGTGGATATGGGTATTGAGAAATGAACTCTGGCCCTCTGGCAAGTATTCTTAATCACTGAGCCATTTCTCCAGCCCCTAACCTTTCTTTTTAATCCATGTTTACTATTTGAATATGATGGCTTGAAATGTACTTAACTTGTATAGTAAAAAGAGCCGATACACTTCTGACCTAGTTTTCAGTGATTTCAGTACCTCTAAGTACAAAGTCATTAAATGAATACAGGCATGGAGGAAAGAGTACTCCAAGTCCTGGTAACAGTAACACTGTGGCGAGGTGACTAGAGAATGGGTGAGGAAGGCCATCCAGGTGCTTCATTAAACATGGGGAGCCTATCTGTGGCATGGAGCTGATTGGGGAGGAGTTAGTTCTGGGAATCTAATAATAGAACTCAACACCACCACTCTATGTTGGTTGCTTTTGGAGTAAGTTCTGGTCTTTCTCACACAGGAGCATGTGTGCGCGCGCACGCGCTCGCACACACACACACACACACACACACACACACACACACACACACACACACAGAGAGAGAGAGAGAGAGAGAGAGAGAGAGAGTCCTGATCTCTCTGTCTCTCATGCACGTATGCATGCAGCTTGATCTGTGGTAGGTCTCTAAGAATTTCTTTTGAGAGGTATGTTTAGATTATTCATGATCACAAAAATGTCTTTTGTTCTGAACATTTTACTAGTAACCTCTAATTTTATGCTGTTTGGACTCCAGTTTTATTGTTGGGCTCTGAAATCTGTTAGAATTCATGGTGGCAGTTTACCTACTGCTTTTCACTGTGTGAAGGTTTCTGAACTAGTGATATTGCTGGTTAGTAGGTGTCTTAATTTATCTGTTATGAATTAAAAAAATAGATTCTGATGAAATTTTAATGAAGTCACTTTGGTCTTCTCTTACTGTAGTGAGGTCAGATTGGTTTCTATTCAAGTTTAGAGTATTTGGTGGATGACCTGCTGCTCTGATGTCCTGGTCAATTTACCAAGCCAAACTTACTTCTGTTTTCAAACTTTTAATTTTAAGAGTATGCTATTCTTTTTACATATTTTTGAAGTTATAATAAAATTATGTCACTTCTCCCCTCCCCTTCCCCTTTCTTCGTCCAGCACTTCCTGTGTACCCCTCTTGCTCTCTTTCAAATTCATGCCCTCTTTTTCTTTAATCATTATTGTTTGTGTATTCCTAAATCTATAACTAAAACTTGCCCAGTTCATGTGATAATCACTTGTTTGGGTATGTTTATATGTTTTCAGGACTGACCATTTCGTGTGCTCTTCCCTGGGGAACACTATTTCTTGTGTTATAGGCATTCGTTAGTTACTCGTCATTCTCTGTCTAGGGTGTGCCCTTCTAACTTAGTGTGTCTGTTGGTGTTGTCTGAGTATGCTATTTAATTTCAAAAAATACAATCCTAGAAAGCCTGTAAAGTTCTTTAATTTCTTTTTAATATGGTGAACATTCAGGTACAGAAATGACCTGGAAATTTGGTCATTAGTTTTAGCTATTAAAGGCAAACTGTAACCTCCCTTTTCTGAGGAAAAGGCAGCAAGAAAGGGAGCCTTAGTGGTCTTCAGTTAACCTCTTTTCATTCCAAATGTCCTAGTGGGATTTGGGGGGACAGCCACTGTCAAGCAGTATTTCATGGGCTTAGGCTGCCATGTGAAAGTTCAACTGTGATGTTACTGTGAAGCTGTTGATCTTTATTTTTCATTCTGAAAATTCACCCCCTTCTGAAAAGACTAGAATATAAGTATCTTTGGACTTCCCTCTTCTTAAATCTCTAATGAAAGCTGAGTGTATATCACTGAGTCTTGGGGTTGTACTCACAGTGCCATGGGTGACATGTGTAACTTTTAATTGTTATTTTTTAAATATGTAATTTTGTTGACAACTTTGAATTTATTCTCATCTATTTCTCCTTTTTTGTTTCAGTGTCCTGGGTCATGAAACTTAGTCCACAGCAAGCTCCGTTATATGTGAGTAAATAATGTGGTTTTATTTGGATTTTGTGCTTATCAGTGGTTGTTTACTTACTTTAATCAACTTGAAATCTCATGTGGTAGAAATTAGAAAAGAAAGTTTTGTACATCTACATACAGCTTGATTTAGTAAGTTCTAAATGACTAATATGTGCATGGAACTGAACCCAGAACAAATAATATTTTACTATTTGAAGTCTTCTAGTTGGTATGATAGGATGCACATATGAAACATTGGCCTGCAGTGGTGCTATGCTTTCTTTTACTTTGACCCAGAGAGCATCTCTGTAAAAATAGGATGGAGGTCTTCAGCTGCCTTTTGAGGTACCCTGTGTTAAACTGTGTGACACTGTGGGACTGTGGCCAAAATATTACTTGTCTTAGGGCTCTGGCTAAAGCAGACAGATCATTTCCCTAAAATAAGGGCATTGTAAGGTGAAATGACTAAATAGGCAAATCCAGGCTGAATAAGGTGGATTCTGGGTAGATTTTTTTTTTCCTTGTGGGTGAGGAGGCAGCCAGAATTGTGAGAAGCTCCAGGGCCTTGTGCTATAGTGTTTCGGAGACTAGGAGAGCCCTCTGTAACAGGATTTGAGTCACCTTGAGAAACAAGGGCCCTTTAGTTGTTTCAGAAGTCTCCACAATTTGTTTAGGAAAAAGGACAGATGTTGGAACAGTGGGAGGCAGTGAGTATGTGTTAGCTGAGGGATTGCATGTGTATGGGAAATAATCTGCTGATACCCTTTGCCATCTGAAAATTGGGTAATTTGTGTCAGTGAGTTGCAAATAGATTATTTGTATGTTTTTAAAACAAATTCTTTGTCAGGTTTGTGATATACAAAATTTACTGTTCTGTTCATTGCCATTTTGCTTTTTAAAAAGATTTTATTCGTGTGTGTATGAGTGGTTTTCTTACCTGTATGTGTGTATGTGTGCCACCTGTGTTCATTGCCTTAAGCCTTTGTAAACTAGAAGAGGGTGTTGGGTTTGGATCCTCAGGTACTGCGATTATGGGCAGTTGTGAGTTGCCATGTTAGTGCTGGGAATGGAAACCGCATCCTTGGCAAGAACAAGTACTTTTTACTACTAAACCATTTCCCTAGCCATGGTACTCTACTTTCTTGATGGCACACTAGAGGTACAAAAACATTTTTAGTTTTGATAATATTTATTTTATTACTTATTATTTATGTGTTTGCTAGCTTATTCAAGAATGATTCTTTGCTTATATCAAGTTTACAAGGATTTATTCCCAGATTTTCATCTAGGAAATAGCAGTTTTTATTATTTTTTTAACTTAATTTTTTTTATGGATTCTTTGGGAATTTCACATTATACACCCCTATCACCCTCATTTCCCAGTCCTTATGTGTCCACTCCACCCTTGTAACCTTCCTCCTAAAAGGAAAAACAAATCGTCTCACTGACCCCACTGGGCACCGTCCTGCTTTTCTATCAGCCACAGCCTTCTCTCATTCCCATCAGAGCTTCCGAGTCTCCAGTTCCTCATTGTATGTACCACTCCACTCCTTCGTCTTTCCCACCTCTCCATCACACATTCACTGATTGTAGTGGCACTGGAAGCTTCAGTGTGTCATGGCATACACCTTTTTGCCCAAACAGTTTTACTTGGAAATGTTCATTGCAATGAGTCATTGGCCTGGTTCAAGGCCTCTGGCTTCTGCTACACCTTCAATACTGGGCCCTTGACAAGACTCACTTTGGATATCCTCCTGTTGCCCAGAGTCATGTAGATCCTATATCTGTGGTTTCACAGAACTGGTCCCCTTTCTTCGTGCAAGCAGCTTATAGGTGCAGTCCATGTTGGGGTGGGCCAACTCAAAAGCCTTGGATCTGGACTTGGGTGGTAGCTGAGTTGGTCAGTCTGGGCCTCCTACATTGTTGTGCCAGGGGCTGGGCCAGCTCAGCATGGTGCATGGATATCAACATGGGTTCAGGCAGCAGCCTAAACCATAGACATCTGCATGGCCTTTGGTGGTAACACGGACCATGGACATCAATGAGGCCTCTGGCCGTATCAGTCCTATTAACCCACTCATATCCCTTAGCAACTGCACAGACCTTCAGCCTCATCATGACCTCAGGTCATGCCATTCCTATGAACACCTCCCCACCCTGGGAGATAGCAGAGGTTATCTTCAACTCATCAGTCAGTGCTTACTTCCTACAACCACATGGATCTCAGGCGTGTTCATTGTACCTTGAGGCAGCGATGGACCATAGACTGTAGCATGGCCTCCAGACTGTTGTAAACCATCTCATCAACCCTGCTGGGCAATGACAGCATGTTGACCTCACCCCTCCCTCTCACCTGTCACTGCCTTCATCTCTACAGTTCTGGCACACACAACTCCATTTTTCTATCTTTTCTACCTCTTCATCATATATTTGTTCGTCGTAGTGGCGTCTGTTACCCTGTGCCATAAGACTGGGACAGCGGCAGCAGAAGTCACTTTTACTACAGTTGTAAGTTACTGATTGCATATATCAGTACTTAAAAGGCACCCACAACAGCAATCTTTATCTTAATCCACAAACTGTGATTCTATTTATTCAGTAAGAGCGATTTCTCATAACTGATGGAATTGTGGATCTTGAGATGGGAGATTATTTGGATGACCCATTACCCATTGTAGTCTTTTTTTTTTTTTTTTTAAAGAATGGATTTCTTTGTTTCTTTGTGTAGCCTTGGCTAGCATGGAATTAGCTTTGTAGACCTAGCTGGCCTGAACTCACAGAGGAAACTCAGTGCTGGGATTAAAGGTGTGTGCCACCACACCCAGTTTCACAACGGCTCCTTTATAAAACATTTATTTAATTTTTATGTGTATGAGTTTTTGCTTGCATGTGTGTGCAGTAAGTACATGCCTACATGCCTGGTGCTTGCTGAGGTAAGAAGAGATCAATGAATCCTCTGGAAGTGATATTGTAGATGGTTATGAGCTCCCATGTGGGGCTGGGAAATTGAACCTGGGTCCTCAGGAAAAATAGCAAGTGCTCTTAACTGCTGAATCCAGCCCCATGATAGGGTTCTTAAAAATGAGACAGAGTGAGGAGAGTCAGAGAAATTTGAAGATGCCTTATAGCTGGCTTTTAATGTGGAGAAGGGGCATCAAGCAAGGACTATAGCCCATAGTAATAGGAGGAAGTAAGTGAACACTTTTCTCTAACAGCATCTAGGAAGGAACACAGTCCCTCTGAGTTCAAGGCCATCTTGAGTTCGATATGGAGCTCTAGGCCAGTCAAGAAGACATAGAAAGACTTTATCTTCTCTGCCTTGTATATATAAAATTGATTTTGTGGTTTTGTGAATGATACTTGTGAAAGAGAAAAAAATAGTAGCAAATAGATAAGGCAAAAAACCTTCTGATCTTACCATCATGGACTGTCCCAGATGTAGAATATTTATATAATAAATAAACACTTGGTAATTATCTGCTTTGCTTATTTAGGATTTCTTATTTAGGATTTCTTATTGTCTTATTTAGGATTTCTATTGCTTTGATGAAACACCATGACCAAAGACAATTTGGGGAGGTAGGGGTTTACTTGGCTTACACTTCAGCATTGCTGTTCATCACTGAAGGAAGTCAGAGCAGGAACTTAAACAGGATAGGATCTTAGAGGCTGGAGCTGATACAGAGGCCATAGAGGGGTGGGGGTGTGCTGCTTACTGGCTTGCTCATCAGGGCTTGGCTTGCCCAGGCCATCTTCTTATAGAACCCTGGACCAGCAGCCATCCACAGTGGGCTGCACTATCCCCCACTGATCACTAAATGAGAAAATGCCTTATAGCTGGATCTCAAGAGACATTTCCTCAATTGCTTTTCCTTCCTCTCTGATGACTCTAGCTTGTGCCAAGTTGACCCACAAAACTACCCAATACAATTATATTGAAGTTTTCTTTTAGATTATACATTTGAGGTCTCCTGGGGTATCATGAGCAGAGGAGAGAAAACTGTGTGAAGGAAAACAATTCTGAGAACTTTCATCTCTAAGATAAATAGAATGGATTCCAATTAATTATTTTACTAATTGAGTAGAGCTTCATACAAAATTACTTGCAATAGTTTGTTATAAGCCAGGCACGGTAGTACACATCTATATTCCCAGCAGTCATGAGGCTGAGGCAGAAGGATCACTATGTGTTTCAGGCAGCCTGGGTTACAGAGTGAGGCCCTGCCTTAAAATAAAGAGTTGTATACTATACGAGGTGCTTGTATTGTGAAATAATTTAGATGAGGCTGTCTTAATGCATAATTATTTCTTGGAGGAAATGTTCTCTGTGGATGTAGAGTCTATGAGTTAGAACTTAGAAGGCCAGTAGCTCAGTGTGTTCGTGCTTTCCTCATGTGTTAATTATTGATGAGTACAGCTTCACTAAGTGATGTGTTTCTTGCACCTCCACAAGAGTATTAGTTGTTGCCAGAATGATTACAAGATGTGTATAGGGTCTATCAAGTAGACATAATTAAAAACTGGAAAGTTTATGAATATCCTTTTCTGTGTGATGAGCTTTGTAGTATAGCAAGAGTAAAAATGAGAGACAGTGGTTGATGCAAGAAATATTTTTAAAGAACAGAACTAAATGCCTTATTTAAAATGAGAAGTGAAACAGCAGTGAATGATTGACAGGGGGTTGAGAATTTGAGTGGGACAGCTGAAGCCATTTTCAGCAATAGAGGGAGCAGGAGGCAATAGACTTGTTCTTTAAATATATATGACACACAGCCTTTTTAAGAGATGGTGGACTTGGACAAAAATTGAAGTGGAGATAGTCTGTATCACTACTAAAATATTGGTATTTTTGACTGTGAGAATAGATATAGGAATGAATGGCTTGTGGGGGGGGGGAGCATTGAGGAAGAAGGCCAAGTTGAATAGGGAAAAGATTCCAGAAAGCTTTCAGGCATATTCAGCAAGAGATTCGGGTATCTTATGCATCCACAAGATAGCTGTTGAGCCCCAAGATATCA